CTAGGCTCTGACTCGCCGAGTCGTATGAAAAACTCGTCGAGTCCATCTTCATAAACTAAGGAGATTGCCTTAGACTCGTCGAGTTCCTCCTTGAACTCATCGAGTACGATGAACTTCATGACCACTATGGACTCAGACTGGCTGAGTCCCTAACCATTCAACTCATACCCTTTAACAGAAGGGTTTTTGGGAAATAATTGGCCTGACCCGCCGAGTCCCATAAGTGACTCGTCGAGTCCCTCTATGTCCAACTCTATTCAGACGATTTCAGTCAAGCACAAGACATCCAAGACCCAGATCTAGCCTCCTAGGGTCGGAATAACACGCAAAGCTAATACCTTTGCGTCCATGCATGGCCCTTTTTGCTCAAAAGGCCATAACAAACTCTTAAAGTTTGCATGGGGAGTTCTATTGGCATAAAGCTTCCACCTTTATGCCTTAACTACTCCAAATACTCCTATATCTGAAGGGATCTAGCTTGGGGACGTCCAAATACCACAAGAAACCATTCTTGGTCCATAATCTTCATAAAAAGGGACATAAAGAGATCTAACAAACTAGAAGTCAAGGAAGGAACTTGATTACCAAAATGAGTCACTTCCTCATTTGAGCTTTTTTTCTTCTCTTTTCCGAACTTTTAAATTCAGGGTGTTACAATTAAATTATGAATTTGTTATATTAAGTTGTGAATTTTGTATATTAAATTGTAATTTACTGTATTAAGTAGTGAATTTACTATATTAAGTTGTGAATTTTTTACATAGTTTGGTGTGAAAATATTATGTATGAGTTTTTGTATTAATTTTCTTGTGAATATATTTATTTTTTTGTTGTATAAGTATGTAATAATGCATTAGTCTTTAGATAATTGTTTTACATTAAATTCAAAATGAGTGAATAAATATGTTTATTAAATTGTGAATGAAGTGTTTAGGCTGTAAATGCATGACTGTGTATACAGATATGATTTTGAATGAATGGTGGCTGTGACGTTGACACAAATGGTTGTTGGCAGCATGTAGTGGTGGTGATAGAGTTTTTGTTTAACTTCTTTAAATATGTAAATTAGTGTAAAATAGATTGCATTAAGTTGTGAATTTTATTTATTAAATTGTAAATGGACTGTATTACTTTGTATTTTATATAAATTGTGTGTTAAATAATAATGAATGTATACATCATTAATGCATACTGATATAGATAAAGATGATGTTGGCTTTCTTATATCTGATGTGAAAGATGTTGATTGCGACCCAAGTTTGAAAAACACATTGGGAATTGATATTTGCAATTCAGCTTCAACTTTTTGTTCTCCGTGTATGAATAACATAGTTTCGATTAGAAACAACATTACTGATATGGGAATTGATATTTTCAAGTCGATATTATGTTCAGATAGAAATGTTCAGTAATGCAACTTTTATAATTTCATCATATTTTTTTTTGTTACTATATTATCTGATATTATCTTTAATATTTTTACAGTGATACCATATGAGAGTTAAAAGATGCAAAACTTATGGTTATTGAAGATGCATATTGCTTTGCACCAAATAAGCCTATTAGTTGTATTGTTATTGATTGTTGGTCATCTTTCCTTAACATTATTGACACACACAATTCAGTTATGGCACCATCCAGAGTATTCTTCAATACAAAAATATTGGTTAGTTAAAATATTATTTTTTTTATTTAAAATTAATATATACTACCTTTTCATATATCTAATCATAATACAGACAAATTATATTCTTGATGAAACCATATCAGATCTATACAGATTTGATAAGTTTAGGTCGATAGTTCAAGAATTCACTTTAAGGTTATATGAGAAATATCCATTTACTGACATGGATCTGGTAAACATCATGTTTCATTATATATAAAGCTAATAATATTTTATACATTTTACATTTTTATGTTTATACTTGTAGGTATTCTTTCCTATTGTTGATGGGGTAAAATATTTTTTAATATGTTTTGATTTGATGAAACCTGCTTGGATGATCATATACCACATTTATAATAATGGAGATGTGGACACAACCTATGGAAATATACCTAGAATCCTGGTAGTGTCTAAAATAATTTAATTTATTATATATTTATAATAGTAAGTTATTGGTTTATATATAATATATAAATAATCTAATAATTTAAATTTTTTATTTGTTGTATGCAACATTACTTCTTCTGCCTCTACCTATATTATGTTGGTCATAAAAAAGAAAATGATTTGAAAAATCTAGCATATGTGGTTATTAATTTCAATTGGAAAAAGCATGAGAGAAACTATAATTGTGGTTTGTATTTGATGCGTCATATGGAGACATCCATTGCACAGTCAGACTATTGTTGGGATTGCGAGCTTGATCATAATCCAAGTATATTGATAACTTCATTGAAGAATTTGAGGATGAAGTACATGGCGAAGCTTATGTTATGGGAGCACAATATTCATAAGGAGATGCTTATTTCTGAAGGAAAATTATTTGAGAAAAAGAATACCTTAAATGCAGCTTGATATGTAAAATTAAGATGATTGTTTTTATTATGTTCTTGATTTTATTGTTTTTTTTTTAAAGAGGATGTTGATTTCATTGTTTGAATTTAGTATTTTCGAAGTCGATAGTATTTGTTATAATATATCATATTTTAATGCATTATGAATTTTTTCTATTAATGTTTTGCTGATTACAAATTTCAAAATTCATATCCAAGTCAAACACATTTAATTTATCATCACTATACTCAATATCACTGAAATAAATTTTTTGATATAGTTTTTCTTTCTTGGTTCAATTGATGGGTTCTTTTGTTTTTTCTTTCTTGGATTTGCATTTGTAGTCAAATTGGTTTATCTGGTGACTTACATGGACCATTTCTACAACAAATTATGTATATGGGCTATAACTGTACTTTAAAGTCCAAGGACCAAAATATAGTAATTGCAAATTTAAATAGAGGGACCATCCTGTAATAAGTGAAAAGTTAAAAAGTATAGGGAACAAACTGTAAAATGTGCAAATTTAAAGTCTAAGGACCAAACTGTAATTAGTGTAAAATTAAAAAGTATATGCATCAAAATGTAATAAGTGTTAACTTTAAAACAACAAGGATCAAACAATAATTAATGTCGAATATATACTTTAAGGACCAAATTGTAAATATTACAATTAAAAGGTACAATGTAACATTCTAAAATTTCAAGTATCATATTTATGTGACTTATATTCTTTGTGACAGAGCAACTCGGCGAGTCGGATGTCCAACTCGTCGAGTAGAGTCGTGTTTGGCCATGTGGGATTAATGACTTACTCGACGAGTCCGAGAGTCGACTCATCAGTTGCTTAACCTTACTGTGTTTGGGGCCTATTTAAGGACACTTATAGCCTCCACTGTGGCTCATCAGTTGCTTAACCTTACTGTGTGAAACCCTAAACGAGTGTAGTGAGCCAAGAGAGTCTCCAAGCTAACCTTGAAGGATTTTGATGCATCTTTTGAGGAGGAAGAGGAGTTTGTTTAGCAAGGAACGAGAAGGAGTTGTTGGGGTTCATGCCATTTCGTTCAGAGCTTCAAGAGGAAGGTAAAAAGCCTGAACCTTTTCCCTTTATTTGGTTAGATCTCATGGGTTTGAGAAATTAGGGTTTTCTTCACATCTTATTTGGGACTTCGAGCATACTAAGTTATCATGAGGTTTAAACCTCAGATCTGGACCTTGTGGGGTCCCTAGAGTCCAAAGGTCCCAACTTTATTCATCCATGTGAGGACTATGGTGTTTAACACCTTGTGAGGGCATTTATAGATAGATTGGAACAAAGCCACCATGCATGAGCGTAAAGATCGAAGCTTTACGTGACGATCGAGCTTTGTGATGCTAGATCTAGTGCTTGGAGTGATAGATCTGCCTTAAAACGCCTGAAAGAGAAATCAGATCGGAGGGACTCGCCGAGTCCATGAACTGACTCGACGACTCGGTTAGGGTTTGTCCCGATGAGCTGGACCATGCAATAGCTCGGCGAGTTAGGGGTTGACTCGACGAGCTGGACCTTCACGAGACTTCTGAGGAACGAGTGGACTCGACGAGTCACATGAGTCCACTCGGCGAGCCAGGTCAAACTTGGACTGTTGACTCGAGTTTGACTTCTGTTGACTTTAGGGTTTGGTTATCATGAGTAATGGAGACCATGGAGGGGTAAAATGGTCTTTTACCCATTCCAAGAGTTAGAGAGAAAGAGAGAGCAACCTTTGGTGTAATTGAGTACGTGTAGAGTAGTAATTAGAGATAACTATCCTATGTGTTAGGCGGAGGCTAGTTCGAGATTCCCGAGTACAAGACTTTTACTTGCTAGCTTACGCGGTGAGTCTTCTCACTATACTTACCATGTGTGGTACCTTTGTGTGACTGAGATGTCTTATGTGCTTATCTATGTATTGTGATATTCTGCATTATGTCTTTGTGCTTTATGCTGAGTATTATTATTATTATGAGCTTCTTGAGCTAGGACCGGAGGGTCCACCCGAGTGTGGGACCGGAGGGTCTCCACTGGAACACATTGACTGGAGGGTCGTATTGAGTTAGCCTCGAGTGGCTAACATGATGTGTGTGGTATTTTGGGGAACTCACTAAGCTTCGTGCTTACCGTGATATGTGTTATGTGTTTCGGGTACTTTTCAGAATCACGGGAAGGCGCCGGCTTGATTGTACACATATCAGAGTTTGAGTTATGTTTTGAGAAGATCCTGGAGTTGTGAAATATACAGTTTATGGATATGTGTTTTGATGCTTGGATAATTGTGACACTTTCGTGATTTTTGAAATGATATAAATGTGTTGTTAAAATGAAAATTTTGGTTTGGAAATTTTCAGTGTTACATACAGAGATCAAAAATACAGATATTGTAATTAACTATTGCAAAATTTTGAAAGTTCAATGTTATATATCATGAATTTCTCAAAGTGCAATGTTATTTCTTGAATTTAGCTTAACCCTTCTCTTCTATCTCTTCATTTGACGAGTAGTGGATGAAAGTTGATTGAGAGCTCTAGGATCCAAATATGTTGGATATGAACTTGGTTTCAATGCAAAGACTTTCACAAAAATCAATATGTTGGTGTAGTGCACGATCCTCACGAACATTGTTTTCCACATGATAGGACATTGTTTCAAAGAATTCACATTAGAATTGAAATTGGAATTCACATTGGAATCCCATATTCTAACTGTTCACATGAGTGTTGAAGTGTCGTCAGGATTGTAATTCCTTTCCTTGCCAACAAAGACATGTTTCAGGGGCACAGTTGAGCTGTCTATCTAACCAATGTAATATTTGTCAATCATCCCTTGTGCATCATCACTGTGCCCAACATCCTCAAAATCACTAGTTGTATCCTTCCCTGCAAATGCAAATTCCATTCCAATCATCATCCTTATTCTTTATATATGCTCTCTATACCCATTCTCATCAATCTCAATTCTCAAACACAATTATATTTACACTTGAATTGAAACATTAAATACCAGTTTCTGCTAGCAGAACTTCATCACCTCCAGGGTGGTCTTCCATAAATGGTGCCACATCATAAACCTGAGGCTCATCATAAACAATTTTTCACATTTACAAAAAAAACACTATTATTGGTAAAGTTAGGACGTTTGGGCACTGAACACTCATTTTCCAAGCCAAAGGGTCCAGATACATGGTTTTAAATCAAAACATATACCAATCTAATCAGCAGAAGAGGTTCAATCATGATTCTCAATAGCAAGGGTAGATGCGAACAAAATTTGAGGTTCAAATCAACATCTACTAATCAAATTTGAGGCTCAAACTTAACTAAATAGTGAGTCGTCACTGCCTTATTGGTCGATGAATTCAGAGCTCGTCGTTGCGCGAGAGTGGATAATTCAAAGTCTATGGTCGCTACCTGCAATTAGAGAAAAAACAGATGGAAAATTCTTCAATAGAACATGAATGTTTTTTAAGCCATTCATAATGAATGTTTGTAAAGATAGGGGAAACTTGCCGATCGATAGTATTCCTTCTGTTCAAGGTAGACGAACAATCAATTGGGGATTTGTGGGGGTGGGGGTGAGGAGAAATATGATCACGTGAACAAATCAAAAAACAATAACCGAAACGAACTTGAAATTGAAGAAACGAAATTTACCTAATGCGTGTGTGAGTGTGTGCGACACCGGGAGAAACACCGATTGGAAGCAGTGATCGGAAGTATCAGGGAAGCCCGATCGTGATTTTGTGATATGGGGGAAACATGATCTGTTGTAGCAAGGGCAATATTGTCTATTAAAAATGTTTTTTGAACAAAAGATTAAAGTTTTTCTTTATTGGAGATTTTTATGAAAATAATTTAAAGAACAAACAAAAGATGGCATGTAAGTAATGCAAGATGTATGCCTATGTTTATTTGTTTTTTATGCAATAAGTTTTGGGTTGTTTGTGTAATTCAAATATAGTTTTATATTAAAGTTTTATATTAAGGGTTATCGTCATGGGCTTGAAACTTGGGTATTATAATTTTTTTTGTACTTTATTAAAAAAAAATTATTGTTTAAATAAAGATAATATTTTACGACAATGACACTATAATATCATTTTTTTTGGAATCGTAGTAATTCACCTTTACCACATAACTTTCCGAAATCAAAATAATTTTTTTTATCTTGTATGACAAATAACCAAATAATTTCATACAAAACCACTGCAGAAGTCAAAATGCAATAAACTTTAAAAAAATTCATCCATTAAGTTATTTTCTCGTGATTTTTTCTTCGCATGTGCAATGTATCTTGTAGACCTGATTTATCCTGACTAAATTTGATGTTCGTTTTACTTAGCTCAGGGAAATATTATAAAAAATTATTTTTACGTATTGAACTTTGCAAAAAAAAAGTTAATTATTAGCATTGTATTTAAAAAAAAAGATGTTTTTGGATTATTTTTATATGCTCTTGATTTTTTTTTTCTACATTACAACTCCATCTAAAACCTCAAATTACAATACTGTGATAGAACTTTTATCTTTGTAAACTAATGTTTGTTTTGTAAATTTTTAATTAGTCATTAGAATTTGAATTATCAATAGTATTTTTATTTCTCAACCGTGGTTTCCACGGGTTTAAACCTAATAAAGTTTTATATTATGGGTTATTGTCATGAAGACCCAATAAAGTTTTGTGTAGACCTGACAATGAAGCGGGTTTGGAGCAAATCGACCTTGATCCAAACCCTTTTAACGAATTTCAAAATCTGATCCAAACCCGCTCCATAACCCGCAAGGTTTTTAATAATCAAACTAATGCCCTTATCCACCGAATCAACGGATATCCAAACCCGCCCCATAACCCATAGGTTTTTTGAATAATCAAACACATTTTACTTAATTCTTAAAATAATATTTCTTGAATAAAAAATGTATACTATAGCTTAATACTTAAAATAATGTTTTTTAAATAAATAAAAAGTTGATTTAGAAAAGGACATTACGTACTCGAGAAATTTCGGTTTGAATTAAAAATCACTATTGCAACAACTTTCGATTGATTTATGACTGTTGATTGTAGTGATATCGAATATCAATTACAAACTTCTTCCTATTAATAATTGATTTTATTGATTTATAAATTGAATCGGAGATATCTTGATGAATATAAATTGAATGACATCATGATTCTTGGTAGATGTTCGATTGTAATTAAAATTAAACGTTAAGTAGAATAAAATATAAATGTATAATTTTAAAATTTATAAGGGGCGGGTTATAAACGGAGTGGATCGGTGATGATTCATACCCGACCCTTTTAATAAAATGGTTAGCGGGTATGGGTCGTTAACGGGTAAACGAATCAAAAACTACACTCCAAACCCATATAATTCTTACGGGTTTGGATCGGATCATGGTCAAAACCCATTCCATTGTCAGGTCTAGTTTTGTGTTTGGTTTTAAAAGTTCCTTAAATTAATTTTTGTTCTTTCTAAAGGTATAAACTCAAAAATGACCTGCTATTAAAGGGATGTTAACATCTTGTTCCCTGTTAAGATGTAAATTCAAACAAACTTTATATAACATGACATATGTTATACTAAATCAATCCCACGTAAGCACCCCTCCCAAAAACCTCACTTGATACGATCAAACACATTTTAATTTCTTCAACCATAAACTCATGATTCTCGTTGACACCCACTACCTCCTTAAATCTCCTCTTCCAATCCACTGTTTTTTCCATTAATGGCGTTATATCCTCATCACTTGCCACCATATTCTCCACAACTCATTCAATAATTGACTCACTTTCCCTTCCCCCCTTCTACCTTAGCGCACCCACAACTCCTGACGGTTACAACACACAAAATCTTTGAGTCTACAATTCAAGATCAAGCCCGCTCCACCAGGTTGGTGATCGGAAAACCATCGACACCGAGTTTGATGTCAATTCTAATCGGATATTAGATGATGAGTTATCACCATCGATTTCCACCACATCGTTTCCCGATGAACTTTTCTGCAAAGGTAAAGTTTTTCCCATAAAACTTCCACCCCTCCTCCAACGCCCTGTTCTAATATTGCCGACGACCGTTAGGTTCACAAGAAACCCATTTCCCCAACAGTGCAAATGGAATGAAGATTTTAATCCTTTCATGATTTCGTTAGAAAAAGTTAGCGAAGAACCAGGTAGAAGGATAATCATTCATTGGCAATCTCGTTCATATTTAAAGTTTAAGGCTCGTAACATTTCACGCACCATCGAATCAGACCAAAAGGAATCAACCATAAGCATGATCAATAATCAAATCCAAATGGATCAAATCAACAAACCTATGAATCCCTTGAAGAACACAACTGAATCAAAGATGGAAATAAAAATGAAATCAATCTTCCTCAGGTAGTGAATCGTTAATCACAAACTGAGTATCTACGATTCAAAACCTAATCAACATAAAACCACCTTCATCTAGGGTTCAGAAACATCGATTTTGGTTTTATTTGCAACCTATTGTTTGATGTTTTGTCCAAAATACGAAAAATACTTGTGCCCATGTTCGTCTACTAATTATTTGACATTGGTATTGAAGATAAACAATTTGAACTGATTTAGTTCGAGTTGAACCTTCTCGAACACCTGCTGCATGAAATCCTTGATCCCGTTGACAAGTTCGTTTAGGGTGTTTGATTGCTTAATATGAGAGAAGGGTCGTTGAAGGGAGGAGCGTAGAGGGAGTAACCTATGATTGAAAAGAATTTGATGCCAACATGGATTAGTTTTTAGTATTTAGTTTTTATAAAATAAAAACAAATCGACCTGGATTATTTGCAACCTGTAAACCGAGACTAAATGGAAGAAAAAAAGATTATTATCTTTTTTAACCGGTTATTTATTAGTTGAAGGACTTAAAAAGCACAAAAAATAGTTTAATGACATTTTAAAACCAAACACAAAACTTTATTGGGTCTTTATGACAATAACCCTTATATTAACTAACTAGTTTATAATCTGTGGAAACCATGGTTACAAAATTAATTGAACTTTTATAATAAAAACTCAAAATTATTAATCAATTATTTTAAATAAATTATTAAGTAAAAGATTTTTTTTAGTTATATAAAATTATAATCATTGATTTAAATAAATATGTGAAATTATCACTTTATAATTTGTATTAATTTTATTTTAATTTTTAATCTAATGTTATTAATTTAATGTAATTAGAATGAGAAATTTAAAATTTGAAATTTGAAATTTGAAATGAATAATCAATAGGTTGACAAGTGGCATGCATTAATTAGAAGAAATAATAGAGTGACACATGACAAAAAGAGAATAACATATGCATTAATTAGGAGGCATAATAGAATGACACATGTCAAAAAGGAGAATAAAACTATTCTTTTATTAAAATAAGAAGATAGGAAGAGGTTATATTTATTTACAATATTAGAAATACTTGTTACAGTTTGATGATTTTTTATAATATATATCTTCTTTAAAAATAACTAGTAAAAGGAAGTTTCGGAAGGGATTTACTTCCTTAAATTATGCGATGTCTTTGAAATGGTAAATGAATAGAAGAACTTATCCGAATGTTTTTTTTTAAGAAGTGCTACATTTACTTTCATTTTAAAGCGAAATAAATTTAATTATTATTGAAAAAAAAGGGAAAATTTCATTAATATCCTTAGAAACCTTTAATATTACTTCTATATCCTTATAAATTTTAAAATTACACATATATCCTTCTCAAACTCTAAAACTCACATATATATCCAAACTTATAATTTAATTAGTTTTAAATTACTTTAATATTAAAAAAGTTATCTAAAAATAAAAATTCTATATGAATGTACTAATATACCCCTCCCAAATTAATTAGCATTAAACCTAATTAAATATTGCAAGATTTACTGCACGTAAACTAATTCTTGTTTCCATTCTTCCTCATCTTATGTTATATGCGTTTCTTCTCTTCTTCTCCATGGCAACAATTAAATCCCTTTTTCATTAGGATTTGTATACCATGGGCTATCTATTCACAATATACTTTCCCTCAAAAGTTGAATATAAAACATCAATGTTGCAAAAAAAGAAAAAGGTTTCAAGTTAAATTTTTTAATGATAACAAGATAGGTGTAGGGTGTCGATGGATATCCAGGTGCCTTAGATTTCTCAGGTCCCATATCACATATCGTAAATAATGGATTTTTCATCTTGTTTTTAACTCGTTTCTTACTGAACTCATTCAACGATTTCATATATGATCCCGTGGGTAATAGATTAAAGATATTAATAATCTAATGGAAGAGACAACTAGCATATGATCCCTTCAACCTTTAAAATAAACAGAAAAAAGTAATTCACTGTCAAAACCAGGTTTTCAATTTGTATCAAATCAATACATAAGCTTAGAAGTTATCGAGCATTATTTTGCATCGACTGCATCAATGGTGAACCGATCTGTCCAGGAGTGCTTGAGGAAGATGTAACTCGGGTATTGATTCTCCGACTTCCCACCATGTGAAGGTTGGGCATGATAACGTTTTGAAGATCCAACTTCTCCATCGGTACAAGTAGGCGAGCAAGAGCTAGAGACTTGTAATGGCACAGAATCTGGCGAGATGGGAACCATAAGCACACAAGACCATAATATTGGGTCCGGTGAGCACTGCCATCGCCATGGTAGCTTGTGGCAAGCTGCTCTAGGGTAGCAAAAGAGTCTTGAGTAATAAAGGGTTTAATGATTATTTATTTTTAAGAAATAAAGAACAGGTGAACTTTGACAACGACTCTTTGTCTTCACCAATTTGTAAATGAAATTGAACTAGAATATTACCTATCCCAGAAAATCAGAGAGTTTTGAGGGGGAAGAACACTGAATTGAGAAGAAAGGGAATCGTGCCATCGTGGGAAGGGGGAGGGTATTTTAGTAAACTTATGAAGAATTTTAATTTTTAGATAAATTTTTTAATATTAAAGTTTCTTTAATCTAATTAAATTATGAATTTGGATATAAAAGTGAGTTTTATAATTTGAGAAGGATATATATGTAATTGTAAAGTTTATAAGGATATATAAGTAATATTGAAAGTTTTTAAGGCTAAGAATTACGTAATGTATGGGGTGTTACATACGCAATACAGATCATAGAAGTTATTTTATTCATTAAATAACCGTTTACATAGAATACTACAAAATCAGAAGTCGGTTTTCATCATATATACTTTTAAAGTGAAACAATGGTTATGGATCGTATTACAGAAGATAAACTTGGTGAAGATATGGATAAGCTGGAAACCGATGGCGTCTCATCAACAAAGAATCAACATGATCAGAACAGTATTGATTTTATATCTTGTAAGTAATGCTTATCGTTAATTTTAAGTTACATTTTATAATTAGCTTAAAATGTAGAACTTTGTGTATATTGTAACCAGAATTGATAATAATACTAAATTACTAATATAGTTCATATATACAGTTGAAGACTTTTTTCTCAGCAACACAGAAGTATTTAATATGCAGATACCAGCGGAGTCGAATATAACAGTTGAGGTATATTAACACAATTCAGTACATTTTTACTTGTAGTTATTTGAGTGTTCAGTGTATTTGAACTGCACAATTATTATGTACATGATGATATCCGATTGTATGAGTATATACACAACAATATAATTCTTTGTATGACCTCTTATAATTTTAGATAATTCACATTTAACATGTTAAATAATATTTATTACTCAGAATATGTATATTGTTATTATTAATTTATGTTGTTTCATTTATTATTCGTTATACATGAAGTTTGTATCAATCTACAATCAATCTATAATAGGGTTATAAAGGATAAGCGAAGCAATGTACAAATTTCCAGGAAATGAACAATTAAATTATTGGATGACGACTATTGGAAATCTGTTGCCTCATAAAGATGAAGTTATAACCCTCCAGTCGATTGATATAGTATAAACACAGAATCAAGTCATCAATCTTGATGACTTCAGTGATATGGATTTTCAAAAAGAAATCACCCAAAATTTAAAAGAAGAAAATCTTAACTTCAGATCCCCAAAAAGTAGTAACAAGAGAAAGTTAATGCATGAAGTTGAAGGGTCACCTTCAGATGATTATTTTACCCCAGAAGTGTTGGATGAAATAGATGAAATCATAAACAGCAGATTAAGGAAGAAACTTAAATTTTCAGACTCAAAGCCCTCATTTCATTTGCTTTCAGATGAGGACTCGAATGATAATGTTCCTGAGAAGTCAAAAGTAGATGTTGATGTAGTCGCTGGTGAAATTGATCATACTGAAAGTAGGGTCAGAAATCGATTGGAGTTTATGATGAAACGAATATGAGAAAAATCAATCTGAAGCATGTCTTAGTCAAAAGAAGGTGTCGAGATTGTTCGTATCTCCCTATATGAGTAACACAGTATCCATTAACACCGAAATTAGTGATCTGGAGATACTTATATGCTTTTCAACTATAGCTTCAAGGAGAAATGTTTTGTAAGTCTGTTATGTTATTCATACACAATATTTATGTCATATATTAATATAATTTTTTTATGCATGTTGAATGATGAATATATAGTGATACGATATGGGAGGTAGAATAAATTCAAAAAATGCGCCTTATCGATGGATGTAGCTTCATACCATAAATAGCAATTACCTCAAATCTGATTGATTGTTGGTCATCATTCTTGAATGTTCATTGTAATTGTAGTAACTTCAATGAACCATCAAGACTATTTTTCAAT